GAGAGAGAGTGCGGCACCCCCTCCCCCCACCTCCTTCCCGCGGGTTGCTCCCCTCACCGACGGTGCGGTGTTCCAGTGAGAGGGAAGCCCTCCCACACCTGTTTCCCGCTCCATACCCTCCGACCTTAAGAATCATAAAGCATATATCTATAAGACTAGTGGGTGTGGGCAACTAGGTAATGGGTTTATCACACCCAAAAATTGTCACCTCACATGCCATACACCAAATATAGGAAATTGACAACTAGTTATAACACTTCATGTCATCATTTTTTTTTTCGATTTAATTTTTATTTTTTATAAAAAGTTAATTAAAACATGTTATTTAAATAAAATCTACTTTTTTAATTAAACATAACATTTAAAAAACATTACAAAAACATAACATTTAAAAAAATTACATTTTGCCCTTAATTTATTCATTTTCATTTCCATCGTACATAAAATCAGCCAAATCTTCTCGAAATTGTCTGTGTTTTCGTGCGTCTTGAATATCTACGACCCTATGTAAATATTCCGCTGTCCCGGGTTGAAATTGCATGTGTCTGGGCTCCGAAGCCGAATACTCCGTAATGTTTCGTCCTTTATCTTCAATCACCATGTTATGCATTATGATACAAGCATACATAATATCATGTAGAACGTATAACTGATATGGTCGTGCCACATGTTCAACTATGTGTCATTTCGACTTCAGAACTAGCATGTTCTACATCCTTACGTGCTCTTTCTTGTTTTCTCTTGAAAAAATTTCTCTTGGTGTTACTAGGTGTCGAAACGCCTTCACGAATGTGGAATATGCTGGATATATTTCATCCGTAAGGTAATATCCAAACTTATATTCATTTCCATTCACTGTGAAAGGAGCATCTGGTGCCTTTCCTGACAAAATATCGTCGAATATTGGTGACTGATCAAGAACGTTCATGTCGTTATTCGAACCCGCAACCCCGAAAAAAGCATGCCAAATTCATAAATCTTGGGACACAACAACCTCTAATACCAATGAAGGCGTTCCATGCCGACCACTTGCGTACTGGCCTTTCCACGCCACATGACAATTTCTCCAATTCCAGTGTGTGCAATCAATGCTTCCTAGCATACCCGGAAAATCATGTCTTTCTTCATGCGCTGCATATAGTTGTTGTATATTATTCAACAAAGGCTTGCGCAAATAAACATCACCGAAGGTTTCGACAACACCCCTCGCTAATCTATATAAACTTTATTTTGCAGTTCTCTTAGACATTCTCATATAATCGTCAATCGAATCAGACGACTCTCCCTTTGCCATAAGCTTAATTGCAGCAACACATTTCTGCAACCCTGTGAATTCTCGCTTACCTCTAGCATCATATTTCATTTGGAAAAAATCATACCTAAACATATATTTAATATGTAAAAACTATATTTGAAAGAAGCAATGTATTTAAATAATGTAAAAGCTATATTTGAAAGAAACAATACCTGCTTTCCAACGCGTTGACTATACGAACAAAAACATTTTTCCGCAAATGAAACCTTCTTTTGAAATCGCGTGGTTGATAGACACAATCATTCGCAAAATAATCATGAACTAAACGCCTGTGCCCTTCTCCGCGATCTCTGTTTAACGCTGCGCGTCTGGTTAATAAAGGATCTGAATTTGGTTGTAGTAGCACGTTCGTGCAATACTCGTACATCATAGCGACAAACATATCATCATCATCACTATCATCGAACATATTCATTTTTTTGGAATGTTTTGAAAGTATATGAAATAGAGAAAAGTGGTGATTAAATTATATATATATATATATATATATATATATATATATATATATATATATATATATATATATATATATATATAGAGCCAGGTTCATGTATTAAAAGTAAGTATTGTGTTATTGTATGTATCAATGTGGGCCAATCAAAATTAAATTAAAAATTAAATAATTAAATAAATAAATAAGGGTAAGTTAGTAATTTGTTTAGTAACTTCCAAAAATAATCCATGTAATCATGGTATTGATTTATAACCTAAATAAATAAGGACTTTGCTCTAAACAAGTGGATCCGCTTAAAAGATTAGGGCTTTTCAACCAGTGAAGCACCATCAATCGTTGATACTGATACGCAGCTACTACGCCTCTTTCCTCCCCACTTTCAGACCCACACAGTCGACGGACCAATGTCGCCGGAGACATGGAAGACATCGAGGATTTGTTGGTAGGCGGTGGCGCTGCTCCACCCGGTTTCCGACTCCCCATTACCGCCGCCGTCGGAATAAATCCAATAAAAAAGAAGAAAAACAATAAACTAGAGCCATCATCTTTGCTTCAAAACTCCTCGACACATCAAGTCCCTGGCACCCAGGTTGGATTTCTCCTTATATTCGTACCCTGGGCGAGAATCGTTTCCATTTTCTGCTTCGCCTTTTTTGCTGATTTCACTCTTCTTTTGTTATCTCTCAATCTCATAGACGGTTTTTTTGAAGACATTTGGATGTTCACACAACCAGGTACAATCGGGTGCAGGAATCGTTTAGGGGTGTTGTCGATTGGTGGAAGGCCGAGGTCAAATCAATTAGTGTTCCTCGATCGACTGAACGATCTATCGGGAGGAGAATGGTCGTCTCCGGGGCTCGATGAGGCCGAAGACAGGAAACGGGAATCGCAGTGAGGCTGTTGTGGCTTCTGTGGGTGTAGCGAGGACTCAAGCAGCCTCTGTTATCGCCTACTGTTTTACTTTCATTTCCCCCAATTTTTCTCTGTTTATACCCTGCATCTAGATTTTTACATCAGTTTTTTTGTAATTTCAGTCTGAAAACTAACAAATGATCGTAAATTCGTTGATTTTGTGTTAGTCGGAGGCTTGATTAACTTGAATTATGTGAAATTTCTTTATTTATAACTTGAATTCTGGGATTTTAGAAGCTATAAGGCGATTGAGAATTCACCTAGATGGGAAAGAAGATGAGACTGATTCAACAGTGTATCCAGATCGACCTGGAGAACCCGATTGCATATATTATTTAAGAACTGGAGCGTGTGGCTATGGTAATAATTGTAGGTTTAATCATCCAACTTACAATGCTCAGGTAAAAAAAAACAACTTTTGTTTTCGATCATAAATTTCTGTTAATTTTAATGAAATATGGATTACGAGACGGTGTTCGAGATTTCTTATCAAATATGGATTCATATTTCAATTTATGTTTTTTTTCCTGATTTAACACTTCATTTATGTGGACAGTGCAAGATCTTGACAAGGTTGAATTCTGAAAAGGTATCAAGTATGTTTATGTAGATGATTCAATGGATGATATTGGTGAGATTCCAATTCTATTGGAATGGAATGACGAATTCCAATTCTGTTGGAACGGAATGATGAATTCCAATTCTGTTAGAATCACAAAAGTTGATGCTTGAAGAACGGACCACATTATTCTTTTAGAATGTATTAGTCGTTGTTAGATTTTGATTTTTCTTCCCCGTTTTGATTGTTTTTTTAGTTTTATTCTTTAACAATAAATGTAATTCTTAAAAATTGTTACCCGTATTCTATAAGAAATAATGTATTTTTGTTTTTATTCTTCAATTGATTGTTCAAGATTTTGTTATTCTACAAGAAGTTGTTATTCTTCAAGAAGTTTTTAAAGTCATCATCAAGAAATAGGTTCAAGAATATTTTTATTATTTATTGTTCAAGAATATTTTTATTTTCGAATATACTCATAAACATATTCTGTCAGAATGTCCGAATTAAAAGAATTATAATTCGTAAAATCATATTTTTTTTTAATTAATAGAATATATGATCCCTTAAAAATGCAATTTTTCTTTATTAAATCTATATTAATTGACTAAATTACCCTTGTAATTAATTAAGATGATTTTTTTCAATTATATTTAATTCAATAATATATATTAATCACTTTCTTAAAATAAGTAAATTTGATTGGCCCACATTTATGCATACAATAACACAATAATTACTTTAAACAAAATAACCTAAGTATATATATATATATATATATATATATATATATATATATATATATATATATATATATATATATTTTAACACTATATTTTTACTTTTTCTTAATTTTGCCACTAAAGTTTCAACAAACTTTTCCTTTTTATAATTTTGTCCCTTTATTTTTACTTCTTCATATTTTTGCCACTAAACGTTCACTTGTACTTTTTTAAAACTCTTTTTCTTTATTCTTTTAGAATTTTACCACTTTATTTTTACTTTTTTTATAATTTTGCCACTAAAGTTTCAACAAACTTTTCCTCTTTATAGTTTTGGTACTTTATTTTTACTAATTTTGCCACTAAAGTTTCAACAAACTTTTCCTCTTTATAATTTTGACACTTTATTTTACTTCTTTATATTTTTGCCACTAAACTTTCATCCGTGTAACGCACGGGCCTTTTCCTAGTTTATATGAAATAGAGAGAAAGTAGTGATTTTATAGGTAAAGATTTTTTTTAAAGAATGTTACCGTTTTTCAACGGTAAAATGAGGATATTGAAAAAATCGAAACGCGTTACGTTCATTACAGTCACAACGAAGGACCACATAATGGCTTGGGGGGGGGGGGGGGGGGGGGTGTTCCGCCCGTGGTAACGTCGTGGAGGCAGTGGCACGTAGGCAATAACACCCGTCCAAGGGCCCATACGGAGTAGTCTAAATGTATTAACATGGAAAAATGCTAATACTCGACATTCATAACATCACGTTTCACATTTTGATATGTAATTTGTTTTCGTATCAAACTATATATCCTTCCTTGTTTTGGTCGAAATGTGATCAGAAGATATAAATCCATGCATGATCACTATTATTATAGTTAAAAGTTACCAAAATCTACAGAAAATCACCAAATAACTAATAGAATAAACACCTATTAACCTATATACATTTATATTCTACAAACTTATAAATTATAATAATATACATTGATATTCTTACTTGAATGAAAAAACATGCATGTATGATCTATATATTTAGATCCCCAAGAATGCACGTGACTGTGATTCCCAATGCTCCTTGGTCTGACGAATCCTTTCTGCTCTCTCACTTTGAAGCCTTTCCTCCCAATATTCAGGACACCTGTCAAAATTTTATAAAATTCCAACTCAATTAATTCTACAAACAAGTAAAACCATATATAAATAAAGTGTTACCTTCGACTTAGTAAAATGTTAAGCTCTTCCAAATGGAGAGATCCCTTGTAAACTCCTGCCTGTATATATTCACCAAAACCAAATGCTTATAATTAAGAAAACACTAATTAAACAAAGATAAAAGAGAGAATTCAAAGGTATTATATATATATATATATATATATATATAGATATATATATATATATATATATATATATATATATATATATATATATATATATATATATATATATATATATATACGTACTTGTCGACAAAGAGGACATTTTGCAGTGGGTTCTGTTGCCTTCAATCCATCAACAATTGTTACTGATCCAGATTTGCAAGCACACATGAAGCAGAATATGTGTCCACAACTCAAATATACAGGATCAAATACAGTATCCTGATCATTCAACAAATATGAAATATAAATAATTAACAATTTGATTTTTCAGTCAAGGTACGCATTAATTATGATAACAAAAGGTTTAATTTACAAAGGCTGACCAAGCATATGGCGCAAGTCAAGTCTATCTCAAGCTTCACAGTATCCGAGAGCTCACAAGAAAGTGATGGTTTTCCATCATTAAATACAAGAGAACATCCCTCCAATAATATTTCAGAACCTTTCGTCCTCATATCTGCCTTTGTAATTTCCCTTAAGTTAATGTGGAATGCAATAAGCTCACATAGCCATGGAGACTGAAGGATGTCCATGTGCATGCTCTGAACTTGTGACCTCAGTGCTTGCCCTTGTTTAGAGTCATGTATCTGCACCCAAAAGGTATCATCATATATATTGTTGATTGTTACTTTTGAAGGTTTAAGATGAAAAATCTAACAAGTCTTTGATGAAATTCACCCAACCTTATCATATTTCTTAAGAATTTTGCGCATAGCAATGGCATTGATAACTGCATAGCCAACAAGGTCCTTGCCTTCTTGTATTAAGGAATGATGGTTTCCGTTTCCTTGGCCATGTAACTTGCCTTTGCACCACATGAAGTACTTGTGGAAACCTGTTGCCAGATGAACATCAAGCACCTTTTGTGCACGCTCATTAAAACATCCAACCACCACAGACATCTCCTTCATAAGGGATGGAAAGAAGCTTCCATCGCAGACTACATCAACATTTATCACAATTAATAAATCACAAGTATTCAACAACTATATATGCAAATTCGTACAAACAATAGTTTAATATGCAGGGCGAGTAATATCAATAAAAACAAAAAAAAAACTAATATTGCTGATATGTAGCCTCAAAAAGATAAAGATATTATCTAAGAGATAAAATAATTACATGAAACGAGCTTGAAAATGAGGGTTATCACGATATCTTCGTGATTCTATTGAATTTCTTTTACAGGTTTTGGTTACGTGTTTCTTCGGCAAATAAGTTTATCATCTGGTGTTATGGTTCTACGTTCTAGTTTAAGATTTCACAAAAATAAACACCTTCTTTGTGACAATATATCAACCACCTTAAAGACAAAGTCATGATATTGATGTGCGAAGGAAGATACTAATAAATTAAGGAGCAGAAACATCTGTAAATTAACATATTGATGTCGGAACCTAAAAACCCACCAAGAGTATACTAAATTAATCCGTAATTTATCAAAGTGAGATAAATTATAAATACCAGGGCAAGGATGGAGGCAATACGCATGAGTATTATCTGCAGAGTCGTTAAGAAGCAATGACGATTTTGACTGCAACGGAATCTGTGAAGGAGTCATCTCTCTACGACACCGCTTCAAGATTTTCTTGAGATTTTTAAAACCCACACCAGGTAATTTCTTCTCAGCTTGTGTTTGCATGTACTCCTCATATTTCTTAAAGAACTTCATCTTCTACCTTAATTATAATACTATCAAGAATCAAGAGACAAACAATAACAATTCGATGTTTTTTTTTAACGTGTCTATCGATCTGTGTTATTATGTTACGTGATGAAGGTAAATGAAATTGTATTCATCAAGTAATGCTATGTATTTTTGTTGATAGATCTAGAAAGTGAAGACAGATTTTAGATTTATGCCCACGGTTTTGCTGGCTTTATGTACAAAAGCACCTGGCTCTGGCGGGTCGGGTCGCCGGTCCCGAAGATAAATATGAGAAACGGTCAAAATGTCTTTTATATCAATATTTAATATATGATTAAATAAAATATTTAATATTTATTATTATAGATATACCATTCTATCAAATTATAAATCTGTGTGTGAACCTACAAGGCTACAAATACCGATTTTAAAATCGATGACATGTCTTTTAAGTGCAAATTGCTCTCAATAAACAAAACCTGTTTTTATTTGACCATTAGCCTTTTACAAAAAGAAAGTGGAAATCAATGTAATCTTTAATACTGAATATTTACAGTAAATTTGACAAAAAAAAAAAAACATTTAACAATTCTAAAAGTTGCATGATTTTCTAAATAAATGCTTTTGAAAGTTGGATTATTTCTATAAATATTTTCTAAAGTTATATAGATTTGGTAACAATTTTAAATTTAGTGATCAAATTAGGAATTAAAGGATAAATAAGCCCTTACCCTGTAGTATGTTTATTTAGAGTTTTTAGAATGATTTTGTTATAACAGGATATATACTAGGCCTCAAAGTTGAATCATGTAAGATTCAACATGAGGCAACTCCTTTGGTGGGGGTAAAGGTACTTGATTAATGTCTAAAAAGTTTTATCAATCTGCGATTTGTTAAATCATATATTGCATGTATTTTTAAGCCATGGAGTGGATACTACATTTGTCTCTAATATAATCACCTGGTTTGAAAATATGACAGTTAAATTGACATGTATTTTTTGACAACGTTTTTTATAAATTGATAATAAAATACTTTGAAATTACTTCGAATATCCAATATTTTTATAATATAAATGCCTTTTGTAAAAAAGAGAAGGCTGATTCATGTGAACTTAACAAAGATTTTACCAAATTGTTGGGTTTATGCTTATCCTTTTTTCCAAGTGAATGTCGTTTTCTCCTCTACACTTTTGATAAAGTCCATCCAAGTCTGAAATAACTTATCTATGGATAAATTCATGGATTTTGACTTATATGTTAATGTTAAGAGTTATTTATAAAAATATTATATGAAGGTGTCTTTAGTAAAAAAAAACTTATTGCTTATTAGCTTATAATTTATTAGTTTATTGACTTATAAACTAATAAGTTAGAATGGATTAATTTATGAAAAATAACTTATTAGCTGTTTGTCACCGTTATAAAGTATTTTTATACAAACACCTTTTTAACTTACAGCAGTATAGAACCACTAATAAGCTAATAACCTGTTTTGCCAAACATCCCAGAAATGTATTTTCACCAAATTTATTGTTTCTAATAAAATGGCCACAAACATGCTAAAAAGTATGAACGAACCCAAGGTAAAACATGTGGTTCATTTGTCACATAGAAACCCCATGATTGTAATTAATTTCTATAAGTTTAACTGTCTCCACTGAGTATTAATCGTTAAGTATGCACGAATAGAATGTGAAACCAAAATTGTTCTTCCCAATTTGATTTTCATAAAGCTAGTCCTATTTCTTTCATGATATTACTTTTAGTCTTGTGAACAACAAACCCCTCTTTTTACTTTTTTATTGTGTGCTCATAAATGTGAAGAACAATATTTAACACTTGAACTATGTACTTGATGATTCAACCCCTATTTTCTTTTTACTATCTTTTAATATAAATATAAGTGTTTTAATTTTATTTATATATCCTATTTATTTGTTGGTTTGACAATCTAACAACATATACATATAGACATATACAGTGGCGATCCAAGATTTTCATGTATTGAGGGCACAAAAATAATATCAAACAATTTTTTTCCAAGTTGGGTCAAAACGATTTTAAATACTAATAACAAAGTTACAGTCTAATATAAAAAATAAAGAAAGTTAGCTATGTGATCTAATAAATAACATGAAACTAAAATTTGAAAATTCACAAATCATATCACTTTACTCTGCTTCCACATAAAGATTACGCAACAGATGAAGATATAACCATCATCTATTGGGGTCTAGCCTTTATTCCCTTTATTCCTTAACCTTTTATTCCTTTTGATGGGCCTGCTTGCTTTTTTTTTTATCACTATTTACAACAACAGTGATAAAAAAAAATGTAGCTTATTGATGTTAATTAATTTTCTGTTGATGGGGAACTTGCATCCGCCCTCTAGAACCGCCAATGTGCAGTTGAATTTAACATACAGTTGTATAAACGTATAGTCGTATGCCATTGGTTTCTTCATGGCCTGGGTTTGGGCCTTAGTCTTGGATTTGATTTGATTGGGTGAGGTTAACCATTAGCCAGCCTGAGCCCTAGATGGGCTAAAAAAGTAAGCCCAAAAACTGAACCTAATGGCTAGTGGGTGATTTGGACACAACTCAAAAGACTAGTGTCTTTATGAAGATAAAAAAGAACCAAAACCACTCACTAACCCTCTTCCATTCTATCTCTCTCTTTATATCCCAAGCCCCAATGACCACCCAACTAGCGTCTTTTAGTCAACTTTTCTTATCGATGTATCTTTATCTTTCTTCTTTTTAACTAAATAAATAAACTCACGCTCCTAGTTTGTTATTTATTTATTTTTATTTTTTTGAACAGCAACGCTCCTAGTTTAATTAATTACTATGCATGTTATCATTTCAAATCGATACACATGCATTAATTTAAGAATAAATTCTTAGTTTACATTCATGTCTTATGTAGTTGCGATGATATGATAGACCGAAAGGTTATATGAACCTGAGAACAAGAAATCACTTGAGATTGACGTTGTTTATAACTTCATCATTCTTTTCTTTTTATAACTTCATCATTCTTTTCTTTTAGGGCTGCCAACGCCATTAAGGCATTAACCCATTTTAGATTATACTCTGTTGTTCTCTATTTCCAATATTGATTACAAGCAAATAATCATATACCCTGGAATTTCTTTTATTATGTGAATACCTATATATCTATATGACTTTGTAATAGTTTGTTAATGTTGTTTATCTTTGACGATCGATGGTTTTCAAATATAGCAACGAATTGATACGAGGGTATTTAATCATCAAACCAAATATTGCATGCATTACATTGCCGTGATAGGGAAAAAGAGCACATCCACTTGTCAACAATGACGTTAAAGCAATAGATTACACCACGTGCTTATTATCTTCTTTCTAGGATATTTTTCAAAATAAAATATATCAAAAGTAAAAATATAAAAGCCTATCTATAAATTATGTTTTAAAACATATACTATCTTAATACTACTAAAAAAGTGAATGCAAATTGCAAAGTAGACTTTTTGCTCTAATTTATGCAACAACGATTTAACTTCTCTTTCGAAAAAATAAACAACGATTTAACTTGTTACTGGTTTCCTATTAATTCATGCATGCATATAGTATTATTATTAGTTTATAACCTGTAGGAACCACGATTACAAAATTAATTGAATTTTCATAGTAAAAACTCATAGTTATTAATCAATTACTTTAAATGAATCATTTTAAATAAATTATTAATTAAGAGATATATCAAAATTTTAAAGTTACTCATAACTTTAAATTTAACATATAATTACAAAAAGTAAATGTTTCTATAAAAAATTTAAAATCTATTATTTAAAACTTTAACTTCATTAATTGTGATAGTGATTTGCTTAATATATTTCTATGATATCTTTTTTGCTTAATATATTTCTGTGATACCTCACGTAATATTATTGAGAAATTATATTAAGGTGACACATGACAAAAGAGTATTAAAACTATTTTTTTTATTAGGATAAAAAGAAGTGATAAAAGAAAATAAGGAGATATGCATATTGTGGATTTGTGGCAGAAAGTAAAAAGCTTTGTAAACATAGTACCCTTTACAATACATTTTGCAAATATAGAGTGTGACCCCAATCAATCATCAGATATTTACGTTTATCATTTTAAATATTTACATTTAAGGCCCTTAAACTATCATAATATATTATACGGATATCTTTTTGTTTTTAATACTTTTTAGCTTTTATTGGTATTTTATCCGTCTATTAAATTTATATGTGAGACCCTTAAAATATATTAATACATTATATTTATATTCTTTGTTATATTTTATTCATATTTTATCTTTATTATTCTTTAATATTTTATCTATAAATTTATTTCTTTAAAATGTTTATTTTGTTATTTATTTTATTATAAATTTTTCATTAGTATCTTGATTTAATATTGATACTTCATATTACTATATATTACTATAAATGTATAATTTATAAACAAGCAGATGATTTTTGGGATTCCCATTTAAAGCCAAAAATAATACTATTTTGTATGTGCTAAATAAATCATTTTTTTTACTTATGAAAGAATATAAAATCATAGTTATTATGATTTTATATAGTATCCATGATTTAACCATTTTTTTATACATTTTCATCCAAACTTTATCTTTATTACGATATTGGTATTTATGTATTAATTTTACGTTTTAGTTTTTTTTTTACCAACTACTTTTTGTTTTTCAAAACAAAGTTGTTTTGTTTTAATTATTTTTGCAACTTTATTTTTAAATATCTTTTAAAAAATTCATTTTCGCAAATTCAACTTTTATAACTTTTTTCAAGAACGGTTGTTATATTTAAAAAAATCATAATAATGTAAAAATATTATAAAATATGATAAATATGTGAATATGTGGAGTTAAATATTTTTTTCAAAATATAATTTTTTAAACGTCTTTAAGAAAAAACTAAATAATGTAATGTGATTTATGAACTAGTGGATTTACATTGATTATTTATTTTAATTTTTAATATTTTAAAATATTTTGAAAAACAACTCATCAGAGAAAAAATATTTAGTTCCACTAGTTCAAAAATCACATTATTTAGTTTTATTTTTTAATTTCTTTAAAGACTTTAAAAAACATTTTGAAAAAAATGTTATTTAACTCCATATATTCACATATTTTAACATGTTTCATAATCTTTTTACATTATTATATGATTTTTTTAAATATAAAAATCAAACTTGAAAAAAGTCATAGAAAACAAATTATTGAAAATAAAAGTTGTAAAAATATTTAAAACAAAAAAAAATTGTTTTATAAAACAAAAAGGAGTTCGTAAAAAAAAATAAAACATAAAGTTACAAAAAGTTTTAGAACGTAAAGACCATTGTCATAATAAAGATAAATTTTAGATGTAAATTTAAAAAAAAAAAAAAAAAGTTGGTTAGATCATGGATACTATAATATCTACATTTTTATAATTTATTCGCTTATGAAGAATCAATATTGAATTGATGATACTAACGAAAATTTTATAATAAAATAAAAAATGAGGTATATATTTAAAAAAAATAAATTTGTAGATAAAATAGTAAAACATATTAAATATAAAATATGAATAAAAGATAACAAAAGATTATTAATATTAATGTATTAATATACTTTAAGGTCTCACATATATAAATTTAATAGATGAAAAAATACTAATAAAAGCTAAAAAGTTTTAAAAATAAAAAGGATATGCATATAATATGTTATGATCGTGTAAGGGCCTTAAATGTAAATTTTTAAAATGATAAATGTTAATAGGGAAATTGACATTACTGATCTTTGTCGTTTTGTTCACATTTAAATAACTTTTTTATTTTTGTGTACATTTAACCATTTAACTTGTTAATATGTATTCACATATTGTCATTGTTACCGGCTATAACATGTGACAATAGTAATATATAAACAAAATTAAAAAGTTAAATGTTTAAATGTGTACAAAAAAAAAAGTTGTTTAAATATGAAAAAACGAAAAGTTAATTACCCTGATAAGTTATTTTCCCCGCTTTTAATAGCGATTTTATTTTTCGTATTTGTTTGTATTATTTTTTTCAAACGTTATATTTAAAATATTCATAATTTCCTAAATATTAATTAAATATTGATCAATTTTAAACTTTACTTTTTAACTAATAACTATGTTTTTGGTCTGTGAAATATTTTATATAGCTATTTATATTTTTTTCTTTTGTTTTTAAGCATATACAATATTTTTAAAGTAAATAGTATCTAATAATAAAATTAGATAAATTAAATATGTAATAATAAGTATGAAGGGTCTTTTAAAAAATAAAAACAAATATTACTTAGCAAATAAAAAACAAAAAAAATCTATATAATGTAAATGTTTTAAAATTATTCCAACTTTTTAACAGTTTTTAGTTAGAAGTTTATAAACTAGTATTTAACGAAAGTGTTTTAAAATGTTATAAAAAATATTAAATTGTCATACAAAATCTGTGACACACTTTAAAAATGTTGTAAAAGAAAGTTTAGAAATAAATGTATGAAAGTTATGAAATTTTTTTATGAAAATGTCAAAAAAAAAACAAGTTAAAAACTTGTAAGAAAAAATTAAAACTTTTATAAAATATTTGGTTTAAAAGCACATGTATTAAAATTATATAAAAATATAAAAAAAAGTTAAAAAAAATATTATAAGCAAAGTTTAAAACATTGTATTGGAAAAATCTATAGGAAAGAAATATCATAAAAATGTTGTAAGAAATTATAAAAGTTTTAAGAGATTTGTAAAAAAAATGTTTACATTTATACAACTTTCTTTTTTTGTACATGTTTGACCATTTAACTTGTTAAATGTGTTCACTAGGGGTGAGCAAAAACCGCACCACAACTAAAATTAACCGCAAAAACCGCATAAACTGCAATCGATTAACCGCAACCGCAATAAAAAACGATGGTGAGGTTTTCTGTTTTTCAAAAACCACAAATTTGCGGTGCGGTGCGGTTATTAGTTTTAAAAACCGCAAAAAAACCACACCGCATATATTATATACAACTTTTTTATTAATTATTAATATATTAAATATTAAAAATAAGACAAGTTTCATGGATAAAACAAAGATTAAATTCTAGAAAACAAAAGTGTTGGTTTTTTCTTATGTTTAACTTTGGAAACTGGTGAAATTTGACAATTTTAAGATATTTATTGTTAATTACTAGTGATTTAAGATTTTAAGATATCAGTTGTTTGTAATTTAAGTTAATTGTCTTATACCTTATGGTTTTATTATTATTACAAGTAATATGTTTAAACTCTTAAAACTGTTTGAACTCTAAAGTGCGGTTAAAAACCACACAAAATAACTGCATCAAATCAATGCGGTTAATAACCACAACACAAAAAAACAAAATCGCACCGCAAAAATAACTGCCTAACCGCACCGTAAAAATAACCGCATCAAGCGGTTTTGAAAATGGATTAACCGCATTTGCGGTTAGTGGTGAGGTTTTGGCAAATAACCGCACCGAACCGCACCGCGCTCAGGGACGGACGCAGGAATACATTGCAGGTGTTGCCGGGATGAATAGGTGTTGCCGATACATGAAAAATAAATAAAAAAAATCGAAAAATCAAAAATTTTTCCACTGCGGCCAGAAAAGTTAGGGGTTGCCGGTGCCACACCGGGAACCCCTTAAAACCGTCCCTGACCGCGCTCACCCCTAGTTCACAATGGTAATATATAAACACATTTAACAAATTAAATTGTCAAATGTGTAAAAAAAAATAAAATTACCTAAACCCGAACAAGACGAAAAGGTAATTACTCTTACAAGTCAATTTTACAAGTAAATATTGGTGATTGAGTGGGACCACAGTCCTATATTTGCAAATGGATTGTAAAATGCCGCATTTTTACAAAACAAAATGTGAACCCCATTTTTGCAAAAAAAAAACTCGCTAGAAACATGTAACTTCATTTTATTAAAAAAAATAAAAATCAGTGATTTTTCTAAAATAGTATTAACAAGAAATGTTGATTTAATTTTTTTTATTAAATATCTTTTAAAACATCTTAGTTATCATCGTACAACGAATAGGAAGGCAAACAGCGCCGCTAAAACTTTAAATAAATAAAATACAAATTAATATCGCTAGTTTGATGCGTAGAATATATAACACTTCCTATTCTTTATTACTTTTTCGTTTATATATGTCGACGCACTTCATGGAAGCTAGATAACAGAGAAGTTTCAGACTTTGTACTTTTTACATGTATTGAAAGTTGAAACTAACGGCGTTAAGTCTCCTTTTTGGTCTATTTAAACTGTAATTCTGAATAGTGATGCAACTAACATTGCAATTGCTTCAACTGTACACACACGACACACACAGCAAAAATAACAATGGCGGCAACAGCCAAGCCGGTGATGGTCGTCGGAGTTGATGATAGCGAGCAGAGTTTTTTCGCACTGGAATGGACGTTGGATCACTTCTTTGTATCCTCTGCTCCACATCATCCCTTCGAACTAATCATTGTTAACAGCAAACCTACTCCTCCTTCTTCCATTGGATTCGCCGTTCCAGGTAATTGTATATATTTAGGGTATTGATTATCTTCTTCAATTCGCATGCATGTATATGTATGTATTAAATTTGTTGTTGAATATATATGATGAATTTGCAGGTGTGGAAGTTTTGTCGCATGTGGATGTGGATTTGAAGAACATCGCTGCTCGAGTTATCGAAAGGGCAAGGGAGATTTGCCTTTCTAAATCGGTTTGTGAATCCAGCTTCAATTACATAAGGAGAAATTACAAATAATTATATATAGTTGGATTGCTGAAGAAATTCATGACTGACTGTATTTAATCTAACGTGGATCATGTATTATGCAATGAATGCATTATGCAGGTGAATGATGCGACACTAGAGATTGTGGAAGGGGATGCGAGAAACATCCTATGTGATGCTGTGGAAAGATACCATGCCACCATACTGGTTGTTGGAAGCCATGGTTATGGAGCAATAAAAAGGTACATACCATTAATTAATTAATTAATTATGATTAATTTATGCATATGCATATCAGCATATATGTACATATATACTCAATTAATTAAACATATATGCATGTCTCTAGCTAGCTATATGATTTATATATAAGATTAAAATTGATGTTGTTGTTCATATGTATTATAATGTATAGGGCGGTTTTAGGAAGTGTAAGCGACTATGTTACCCATCATGCTCACTGCACTGTCATGGTAGTGAAGAAGCCCAAGGCTTAGCTTAATTAACACGAATTCAAGATATCTTGCCCCATGGCATGGCATCCATCATCATTAGTTACCTTTTATGCTTATCTTTCATCTGAACTCCCCATGGCTGCAGTCTAACACCGTTGTTGATCGTGGTAGTATGTATGTATGTTTAATGTTTGTTCAATTTCATAAACTTATTTTCATTTGAGCAATCTATATATGTGTTTCCTTCATTTTAATCGTTATAAATAACATGTGTGTGTGTGTTTTGGACGTGCAAATTAATATGGATATTCCATTTCTATACAACACGTTCATTGTTTGTGACATATAAATAGCAACAAGTACTGGTTTCACTATCAATCAATGGTGATGATGTGAAGCCTAAACTTTGGAACTATGAGGACATGTAGTTTTGATAATGCTACTTGGAGAAAATTTGGAACTATGAAGACATGCAGTGTGATAATGCTATTTGGAGAAAATTAAACCAGTGTTTATGCAAAAAAAAAAAATGCAACATAAAAACACTACTACTACTACAAAGTACAAATACAGCGGTAATTTTGCATTCACATCACAGCCCACAATTACAAATGGTAACTCTTACAAACGAGAATCCTTTTTAATATTTTTTAAAATTCAATGGTTCATGTGGAATTGTACGTATTTTGTAAAATCCAACATTAGTTTCCCTCTTTCCTTAATTGTATTCAGTAGCTCTTGGAGTTTGCCACATGGATGAGTTGTTATTACAATTTACAAGTGTCAGTTTTCACCAATTCATGTGTGGTACTAGTAGATCGGATGGATGGATAAATATTCCTAAATAAAAATCGTATCATTCAAAAAGTATATATATATATATATATATATATATATATATATATATATATATATAGAGTTAGGTTCAAATGTTTCTACTATCTATTGTATGCTTGTAGGATTGATTCTGAACAATCATTTTATTTATTTTAAGAAAGTAATTAATGCATATTACATATTAAAGATATAATGAGCATTAATTAAAACTTCAGCATTTAATATGCATTAATTACTTTCTTAAAATAACTAAAATGATTGGTCCAGAATCAATCCTACTAGCACACAATAGATAGTAGAAACATTTGAACCTAACTCTATATATATATATATATATATATATATATATATATATATATATATATATACCACGGAATCTTTCTCAGCCAGCTAGCTAGCTTATTGAACAAGGGACCTTGATACACAAATAACATTTGACTTGGTTAAAAAACATAAGATTCCCAATATCTAGGATGGGCAAATGTGTGATATATATTGGTTAGGTTAGGACCTAGGAGAATCCAAAGGACCCAACCAACGCTTATTGCTTTTTACAAGAACACGATGCCAAATTAAAGCAAAGCATCCATGCATCCATGAAACTACTTTGCAACTGGGTCTGGGATATATCAAGATTCCAAAGTAGAATTTAAAACTACATATATAAGTTCAAGTTCAAGTTCCCCCTTGTATTCGTGTGATATTATTATAATAACTGTGACATGACATATAAAAATAAAAGTTGGCAAAAGGCATAGAAATGAACCATTGTGTTGTGTTATCTTTCTAGTTTGCTTAATAAGTCTTCCATTGCTGGCAGCTCTTTCACAATTTGGTTCCAATCAGGCAACCCCTATAGAAAAAAAAAAAAAAAAAACAACATTTGTTATATATGTCCGTTTGACCTCAAAAGTTAAAATTAATCAACAAACAACAATAAAAACGGTTGATCATTGTTAATTTCTATAACCATCCGTCATAATTGGCTTTCGTTGCAAAATTTCTTGTGAAAACGCCCAAAAAACATCTTAGTTTTTTGCAGGAATGAGCCAGATGTAAAAAAACACACAAAACATCATTGTTGGCATCTTTTTGTTAAAATATGCTTTTTTTTTTCCTATTTAAATCAATGATTTGTTTACAAGAAAAAAGCGAATTATGATGGTGAGAAATTTCATGGACTTAGAATGAAAGAGCGATACGAAAATAATAATAATAATAATAATAATAATAATAATAATAATAAAAAGAGCAGTGAGTACTGACCCTCCCTGATCTTCGAACACGACCATCTAGACGTAGTATAATATATACATCCTCACCGGGAGTAACTCCCTCTGATTTTTGTTGCTCCTTTATCCACCTTTCAAACAACTTAACACACTTAAAACAAACCCAATAATAACTTATTTAATTTAGAGTGAGATATTTGATAAATAGTGTCACATATGCATGCTGTCTTTTTAACCAAACCAATGTTGATCAAGGATAATAAGATTATTATGACTCACCTTTCCCACTCCCCAGGTGCCACAACCTCCGCCTTGAATCGGATCTCAGACTTCAATTTTGTTTTTGCAGTTATCGACTGAGCCCGCGACTCAAAATCTTCCTACAATCATCCATCCAAACAAGGTATTAAATTAGAGTGCTATTATATAGCAGTAGTACAGGATAAGGATAATTTTGCAAATTTATACCCCAACAGAAGGAAGAGATGCAGCTGCTTTTTTAGGACCCCCAAATCCTCTCTTATCGCTTTGCAGTTCTCCTTCGCCCCAAATCACAGGAACCAATATAACACCTCGGTTCAAGAGCTCCATCCGGAACCTTTCCGCCTTTTGAATAGCCAAAGTGACACTCTCTTTCTTTCCCGCCAATATAACCTTCAAAAAAAAAAAAAGTAAGAAAATTTCTACTTTAATTTTGAATAATGTAGCAGTGATTATGCATGGTTGGGTAAAAGGGAATTTGGATACTAACAGGCCTTGCGGTGTCTCTTAATTGCACAAGTTCAACCACACGATTAGTTGAGAGGCGCAGAGGCAACCTTGATAGTGTTTCATCTCGGGTTATTTGAGCAAGTTGTTCTTCCTCTTTCTTGTTATCCCAAAGAAACAACGCCACAAAAACTACAATGCCTACAAACTCAAACCTTTAGTTTTTTTTTTTTTTTTTTTTTTTTTTTTTTTTTTTTTTTTTGACTTAAAGCACTTAATCTGGACATGAGTGTGTCTTTTTGACTTAATCTGGAAAGAGTTAAGCCAAAATAAACACTGCTTAATGTATTAACCCACCAACCTATTACATATTCCACCCAACTCTCCTCACGTTAAAATTGATGAATATTATGAAATGAAATGCAAGGGTAAAATGGTCATTTAGATGGTTAATTCGATCTAGAAAAGAAACGAACCTTATGCATACAACATTTTATCCATACAGAGTTATAGACATCATCAGTCACTTTACCCATACAAAAATTAATGAGAAAAGAAACAGCCCCTTATTCTGATAAGCTGTACAGGGTGTATCTTTTTTACTTAATAACAGAACGATTTAATAGAGAAATTCAAGGAGATGAGACTTTTCCATTAAGTCCTAAATTTTTATGAAGTTATCTAGAAATTACTTGATATGTTTTACCTCCAAGATTAATGGCGACATTTTGGGAAGTCCCTAAGATATCAGGAGCTCCCTCACCACCTTTGATAGCAAGGAAGAGTCTAGGAAAAGTAAGGAACAATGAGATTCCAGCAGCTGCTGTAAATGCCACATAGAAGAATCTTCTAACACCACGAAATGGAGCTTGAACCTCACTAATCAGCTTCAGATCTCTTCTGAAACCATATCCTACATCTTCCCCACCAAGCCTAGCCTGCAAAATGCAAATACTTTTCATCTTTAACTTACTTTGATATTTGCTAATTCTTGAATTACCCACTTAGGGTTTCAAAAAAGATGAAGAACCTCTTCTTGTAGTTGTTTAAATTCAGGTAAAACTCTGAAGGAGGCCAAATCTGGATCGTTTAGAATGGTTCCAAATTTCAGGTTATATTCTTTAAGAGCAGTGCGAAGACATTCAGCAGCCTTCTTTCCCTCCCCTCTTCCTCCAAACAGATAAAAATGAATTCAATCAGATTGTCCTGATGCATTTATAAAATTATAGTGATATAGAACAGATAATCAAAAGGAAACCAAAAATCCTACCTATAAGCATGGCAACATGCTTTGTTATAAAGTGCAGCTTGAGCCTCCATGGGATTAGGGTTCAAGGTAAGCGCTGTTTCAAACTGGATGAGAGCATCTTTAACCTGAAAATTTTATATCCATCATGAATGCCCATAATCATGATAGTCAATTTAAAATCTTGGATCCATTGAAACTGATCCAGACATTCCACTCCAAGTCAGGATGTTATGGATGTTTATCATTTTAATTCCCAAATGCTTCATGATCATGATACATTGTTGTAAAACACTCTATATGGTACCAGAAAGAAACCAATTCTTATTAATTTTCTAGAGAATTTGACTTCGAGAAGGCATTCAAAAGTGTAAACATGGATGCATCCCTGAAAAAGAAATTAGTATGATAGTGGACATTCAGATATAAATTTCGGCCACTGAATTTAAACTAAGAAAATCCGGGCAATATCCATAACAATGAAGCCATTAGCTTGAACCCTATAAACACCAAAAATATCCAAAAAAAACATGAAACATTTTAACATACTATAATAGGGTGAATTTCGATGCAATAAGCAATGATAATTACGTATACGGAGTGCGATGGAATTAAAAGATGAATATTAGTATAACTACCCGTCCTTTGGAGAAGAGGGTGAGGCCCAAATTGACGCAAGATTCTGCTGTCTCTGAACCAACTTCCGGCGACGGAGAAGGTGGTGACGGCGAGGTTGAAGAACAAGAAACTGGTGAAAAAAGAAACTTCTGGGGGGAATTGAAAGTGGGTTTTCTGCGGAGTAGTAGTAGTAATGAGGATATTGATTGATTTGGGGAATTGAAGGAGTAGCGGTGGTGATGCTGGTGCCGGAGCACAGGATTTATCACATCCATTGAGGTCTCATGGAACACAACCGTTTATCCACTTCTTTGTATAAAACTAAAAAACCAATTGAGAAAGTGCTACCGGAAAGGTCTGTGGTTAAGAAATCCTGATCGGGTAAGAAATCCTGATGTTTGATTGTACATCTGACTGAATGTACTGAGTGATGAAAAATGACCATTTTACCCTGTTGTTATATATATTGATGGATTAAATTGCTGAATAATTATAAAAACATACATATTGTCATACAAAATGTAAATTACACACAAATAAAAAATGTCATACAAAATGTAAATTAAACATAAATAATTTAATATCCAAATAAAAACATAATGAAATTTAAAATAACATAACAATTTAATGTAAAGTAGGTGAAAGTAGTCGATTTGCAATCTGATCACGCAAAACACGCATATATTCAACGGCTTCTGGACCCCATTCTATGCCTTGTATGTTTTCTCTATCAATTCCCCCACATTGGACGTCAGGAGTAACCATAGTGTCCTCCTCAAAATGTCTAAACAAGTCATCTTCTATATTGTATTTCCTTATAAAATTATGGACCGCGACACAAGCAATGACTATGTCTCTTTGCACTGTAAAAGGATAAGGAGCCATTTGTTTTAAGATTGGGAATCTCGCCTTCAATACACCATAAGCACGCTCAATAACATTTCTAAGTTGTGCATGAGCATGATTGAACCTTTCTTCTCTAGTTAAAGGTCTGTCTCTTCGAAAATCGGCTAACCAATACCTAGTATTGCGGTATGGAGCCATAAACCCACGAGTGTTTGTATATGCGGCATCACAAAGGTAATATTTATCTGCAAACGAATGTGACACATATTATATAATGACACATATTATATAAAGAAGATAGATAATAAAAATTATATAAAGATTACAAACCTGGTGGAGGAAATGGAAATCCAGAAATCGAATTGAATGCAACTTCTTTCAAAACTCTTGAATCATGTGCTATACCCTCCCATCCAGCCCAAACAAAGGTGAATATCATATCAAAATCACAAATTCCTATTACATTTTGAAAACATTCTCCTTTTCCTCTTCCTCTATAACGAGTTTGTTGATCAACAGGTACAACCGCATGTACAAGAGTTCCATCTAATGCACCTATTGCTCCGGAAAAAATATTTTTTAACCGTCTATGTCGTTCCGAGTTATGTCTTGTTGGGTTAGGAGTTGTTGGTACTATAATTTTTTTTGCAAAACACATCATTGCTGTTAGGACCTCGTGAAAACATTGATGAATCGTTTGTGTGGAGTGATGAAATCTTCCCTTAACCGCGCGAAAACGTTCATTATGTCCTATAACATGTAAGAAGATAGCCATCTTCTCTTCAATGTTTATTGTCCTACTAGCTTGCAACCAATTTTTTTGGGTAAAATGGTTGCATAATAATGCAAATGCCTCTTGTGTAAGACGCATCATATCGAAACATTGTGTAGGGTCTCCGTACATCAAATCTTGTGTATATGCATACCCGCTTGAATCGTTATCTCTAATTCTATGAATTCTGATTAGTCTACGCCGGTTTGACCTCAACCAATAAAACACAAGTAAAAGAAAAGCTACAACTTCACCATCAGAAACCATACTTGATCTGTTACAAACAATTAGGTAACATGTTAAAGTAAAAAAAAATTAATGCACCAAAAAAATGAGTAAACCACATCAAAAGTAACAAAAGTCATATAACAAACGTTATATAACAAAATACTAGTAAACCAAAAAAGTCATCAAACATAGGATCCAAAAAACTAGTAAACATCATCCAAAAAAGTCATCAAACATAGGATCCAAAAAACTAGTAAACATCATCTAAAAAAGTCATCAAACATAGGATCCAAAAAACTAGTAAACATCATCAAAAAAAACTAGTATCCAAACTTTTCTACCTGCACCTATCAAAGATAACCATACTTCCTACCCGCACCCATCACCCACGACTCACAACTACTATGCGAAAGTCGTAACCAAACTTTTCGAACATCAGCACTTTCACCAAATAGCAAAAGAGCGGTCTTGTATCTTTCATCTTCTTCTCCCCATTCCATTTTGTTCAATTTCTCCATACACGCATCAACATCCTTATCCATTTCACTTTTTTCAATTCTTTCATTTTTTTCCACTAACGACCTTGCAAGCTTGACAATCTCCTCTTCAACTTCTAATGCCCTTGCATCTCTTTTTTTTCCACCAACTCTTTTGTTTCCACCAACTTCCTTATTTTGTGAACGCCCCGAAGATTCTTCACTTGCACCTACGTGTTGTGTTGAGGTTTCCATTGGAACATCATCATCAAAATCATGGGGACTAAACTCTTCTACAGGACGAGGGAGTGTAGAAGATGGCCCCCAACTTTGAAAGCCGGTTGATGTCGACCCTTCAAATAGTTGGGTGCAAAGATCAGGGAACAATAGGGGTTTAGTTTTCAATGACAACACGAACTTGCTCAACTGTTTACAATTTTTATAAATATTAGTATATGTTATAAAAATAATCATAATAGTATTGATTAAAAAAATAAATTTAATCAAATAGTATATGTTATAAAAATAATCATAATAGTATTGATTAAAAAAATATTACCTTCCCCTCTTCTTTCCATTGTTCATCGGTCAAATTAAATTTATTTTTTATAGGATCATATATATTGCCGGTTTTGTTTTTGAGTTTCACCCAAGCAACATACTTTGATTTGTAGTAGTCAAAGTGGTTTCTCATTTGCTTCTGATCAACCTCTTTACCGTGTTCGTTTATCAATTTTTCGCGTATTGTCTTCCATGAACTTGCCTTAAGCCCGGAACCCTCACGACCATTAGTGGTTAGTTCATGGATACATGCATCAAGAAAAGTTTTGTCCTCACTCTCGTTCCAAACCAACATCCTAAAACATTAATATTTAAAGTAATTTATCATAGTTTTTAAAGAACAATTTTAAACATAAAGCAATTTTCAACCAAGGAAGTTAACATCATCCTAAATTATGATTTGATAACTTATACACAAACAATTTCAGATGTCACAAAACATCAATATTCAAGCTAACAATTTCACAAAAGATAACAAGCTAACAATTAAGGTCAACAATATCAAAGCTATAAAATTAGAAAAAAAAAAACAAAAACAGCCCAATTTTTGATTTTATAGCTTATAATTTTGATACTAACACAAGCTCAATAATTGGAAGGCATGTGATGTTGCATGCATTCCCCCTCTCGCCCACTCTTCATGGAACAATTGGATTATTAAAAAAGTTAGGTTACCATTAATCTTATAATAATTATTTATTATTAATTTTACTTTTGTACTTTACACATAAAAACACAACATTTGATTGTATTTTCTGTAAAACATGTGATTGTGGGCTTGAAAATGGGAATTTACAAACCTACTTGTATTTTCCAATTCATAAGCTATTCACTTTCAATTTCAATTCATAAGCTATAAAATATGAACTGGAGAAAAAAACTTCCAATGTGAATTGGAGAAAAAAACTTCAAATTCAGAAAAAAAAACAAAAAACAACTACCAATTCACATTCAATTTTAGAATTCATAACATTAGAAAAAAAAAACCTTCAATTTTCAGTTCTTATACACAAAGAACTACAAAACAAAACATAAACAAGCTTCCAATTCACATATAATTTCGAAATTCATCATATTAGAACAAAGAATTTCACATTTCAGTTCTTGTACACAAAGAACTACAAAAAAGAACAAAAAAAAACTTATCATATGAACATATAGGTTGAGAATTCATAATATTCTAACAAATAGTAATTTGATTTCATAAAGAACTACAAATTTCATACCATCAAAGCATAAATGGTATCTGATTTTGAAAATTATTAACAGAAAAGTTAGAAGAATATCTTACCTGTGTGATGGATCGAGAAGGCGTCACTGATGGTGGTGGCGGAGGTCCGGCGAGATGGCAGAGGTCCGACTGTTTGGCGTTCACTCGTTGTGGAGTTCTTCCTGGCGGCTGCTGCTATGCTTTTAGGTCACTGGGAAGGGACGCGAATGAGGGAAGAAAGAATAAAGACGCAGGGGCAAGATGGTCTAATTTCCAGTCAGCAATTGTTAAAAAACTGAGCCAGAAAGCGATTTGGGTCAGCTGATCTTACCGATAAAGCTCAAATCAAACACCAAAGGTCTGACCGAGTCAGCCCAATTTGCTGACTCGACCCAGTCAGACATTTATCAAACACTCCCTAACTTTCCATTGTTTTTTATTTATTTATTTTTACTAATGAGAAATTTAAGTGGTGTTTGGGTAACTTATGAAAAAATGATTTATTAGAAGTTTTCCACCGTAATAAGTTATTTTTTATCCAAACACTTATAGGGGTATGGAATAAGTTATTTTTTATCCAAACACTTTTTTAACTTATAGCGGTGTGGAACCTCTAAAAAGCTTAGCCAAACACCCCCTTAATGTCATTTTTTAATTTACTTTTACGTTTAAGAAAAAATATATATATATATATATATATATAAATTTTTGGCAATTTAATTAGTTAAGGGATACTTCACATTAAAATGTTGGAAGTTACGGTTAGAAAAAAAACTATAGGAGATGTTTTCATTTATTAATATTAACTAGGTGTGAGATCCATGTATTACATGAGTTTAATTAAAAAAAATTAAATATGAAATTTTAACAATTTGAAAAAGTTTAAATTTATAAGAAAAATGAGAAAAATTTTACATTATTAAAATTAGTAAGGCTTTAATGTATTGAATACATTACATATATAAACTATTTCTAATAAATACTTTACATATATATTACCTTACATATTAAATATGGAATTTTAATTTAATAAAATGACAAGTGGAAAATAGAAAATTTAAAAATTGTAGAAAATGTCATGTGTCCAAATGAATGAGACAAAAAACCTTCATTTATTAGAGTAGATTTTATTGAACAAAAGTGAACAAAAAAATGACCAATGTAATGTCTAATTTAGAAAAGAAAATTCATGGAGTATCAAAATCAAAAAATAATAATATAATAACTTTTTTACCATTTGTTCATATTTCATTAATGGTTTTTTATTTGATTTACCATAAATCACACATTTACACGTATTTCACTAATAATAAACTTTTCACTATTATAAATTTAAAATATATTAAGGGCGTTTGGTTTGGTTCGTATAATGTTTTTTTGAAAAATAAAAATGTTCAAATATATCGGAATATAAATGAATTGAAATCTATGATGGGTCTGGTTAACATGAAATACACTCTGTTTTCTGTTTGATTTGTAAATTTATTAAAAGAATCAGAAATTAATTATATAATATGACCAAAATACTTTTTTATTGATTTTTTATAACTTATTATTATCTTTAATAAAAATGCTAAACTTTCATTTAATAAAAAAATTTCATTTATTCAACTCTTATCCGCTCAAATATGTGTTTTTTATTGAATTTTCACATAATATATAACGAAAAAAATAGTTTACCAAACATATATAGATAATTGCACTTGATAAAAAAAAACTGATAAATATCTTGTTTTTGGGCTAGGTCTATGGCCATTTAATAAGGAGTTTGAGTGCATATTTACAAAGTTAATGAAAGAAAAAAAAAACATAGAAAAAAAACATGTGTGTATGCTTTTATATGTGTGTAGGGGGTGGGTGGTCATATGCATATAGGGTGTGGGTGTGAATGTAGGTATGGTTATGGGTGTTATGAGTGCAAGTATATAAGTAGAGTGAGGTATGGTGCATGTAGGAGTAGGATGGGATGGGTGTGTTGGTTAGTAGGTATTTGTGTATACTTTTGAGTGTAGCAGTGTGGTGGGGGTGGGTGTGGTGGCAAGGTATGTGTTGGTGTGGCCTTGTAGGCATGGACATGTATCCGTGGGTGTTAATATTGGTGTAGGGGCTAGGGTGGCGTTGGTGTGACCTTGTGGGCGTGTATATGTATGTGTGGGTGTGAATGTTGGTGTAAATGTGGGTGTGACTGTATATATGGTAGTGGGGATAGCAGTGGCGGATCCTCACTAGGGCCAGGGGGCCATGGCCCCCTTAATTTGTTTTACTTATTAATACTTGTATTATATAAAACGATAGGTTCATCTTTTTCACTAATTTTATGGCCCCTCCAGTTTATGATATATGACATTAAATCGTCAGCTCCAAAATAACTAACACGAAAAATCAAGCTTATTTGGTGATAAAAAGATTTTATATAATTAACAGATTATCCGAAAATCACTGAAAAAAATCAAAACCAAATCATAATTTTAAAAAGATAATATCACACTCTATAAATAAACCCCGAAAACTATTATAATTTACATTTTATTAACACAATGTTTCAGAAAATATGAAACCTAAAAACTAAAGAACACTACTGCCAGAAAAATTGCTCACCGGAAAACAATCTCGGAGTCCACGAAGGCCGGTCTTCTCACCAGAAAATACGCCGCCCAATAGTGAGTGCTCAATCACTCACTATTTCCTCTTCGCCCTTCTTGCACTATATGCGCTATGTCTCTAGTCTCTTGTCCGTGCCGTTCGCTGAACTGCTAATACGAGTCTCCGGCGTCTCCTCTTCACCTGCAATGTGATGACCTCCTTGCGCTCGGTCTCTCCGCTCCGATCTCTGTAGGATTTGTAAGCTATATTCTTTTTCTTACACTTTCTATCTTTCTATTCTTCTTTATCTTTCTTAAATGAGATTATAGCGTTGGAATTTGAGAAGGATAAGAGGCATAAGAGCAACTCCAACCATTCCACTGAAAATATCACTAAATTGGTGTATTTTTAACACCAAAACTTTTTTCTACTCCAACCACACACTAAAAATTTACACTAAAAACATATTTACATATTATAATATAGAATAGAATAATTATTAAAGTTGTAAAAGTTATAAAACTAACTAAAATAGTATTAAACAATTTAAAAAGATGTTTTGGTGTGATGAATAGTGTTACACCAAAAATAGAGGCCACTATTCAATCCCACCATTTTTGTGTTGAGTTTAGTGGTCCATTGGAACAGGGTACCCGCTTTCGGAATCGGAACCGCCTTGGAACCGCCGGTTTCGGAACCGGAACCGCCTTAGACGGTTCCGGTTCCGGTTCCTAAAGTTTTGGAACCGTCTTAAGCGGTTCCGGTTCCGGTTCTCATATTTTCGGAACCGTTACCCGCTGGGTACTCGCCGGAAGCCCGGAACCGGTTTATATATATATATATATATATATATATATAGATATATATATATATATATATATATATATATATATGTGTGTGTGTGTGTTGTTCGAGTTCCTTATTATTGCAAATACTCTGCGTTACAGCAGAAATGGAAAGGATACTTTTAAATTTCAACTTAAAAAACTAAGTTATATGAATTTTAATATCCTATATACATATTATTTTTGTGCACAGTTACTAGGTTCTGGATCGATTTGTGCATAACATTGAACATTCACTGTTAACTACAAAAACAACCTTATGTAAACATATACACATCGAAGGTATGTTTTTTTTTTCTTTTACAAAACCTTATATAATATTTATAATTTAAAAGGTAAGCCATTAAAATGTAATTATTTTTTAATTAGACACCGGGTACCCGGAACCGGAACCGGTTCCGGCGGTTCCGGGAACGGTTCCAAATATTTAGGAACCGGTGTAAGCCGTTCCGGTTCCGGTTCCAATATGAGAGGAACCGCCGGTTCCGGTTCCAGTAAATTTTGCCGGGTACCCGCCTATGCTCATCCTTAATTTTTGTGTATCCATTGAAGTTGGTCTAAGAGGCAATTGAATGTCTAAAAGCTGTAAAAGTAATTTTAAAGGTTGCAACAAGTACTACACATGTATTGTCATTTACTATTTGTTAGTTTATGATTTTTTTTAAAAAAAATTTAAAGATTCGTACGCTAATCATAGGAAATTAATTTGGAATTTAGTTTTGTTTAGCTGAATATATATATATTAATTGTTAAATATTTTATAATTATGAGTTAATTTTGTAATTTGTTAAATGTTGGTTGACTATAATTATAAATTTTGTAAAAAATTAAAGGAAAGTTTAAGACTAATTTTACAATATTAAAAAAATTAAAAGATAATTCTCATTTTGACGATGGATGTAACAATATTTCATATTATTTTTTTCTAAAATTTTGATATGTCGTAACTTTGAATAATTTTAAACTTTTTTATATGATTTTAATTTCAAGTTTTAGATCCCCCCCCCCCCCCCCGCGTCCTAACGTGCTTGTTCCGCCTTTGGGGAATAGGCGTATGGGTGTGCTTGTTCCGCCTTTGGGGAATAGGCGTATGGGTGTCAGTGTAGAGGTGAATGTGAAGGCGGGGTATGTATGTTTGTATAGGTGAGTGTGATGGGGGAGATATGATGCTAATGTATTTTGATTTGATTAATAATGACTAAACTAAAGAGGAGGGTATAGGATATTTGTCTTTTTAATATAAATAATGAATGAAATCTAAATTTTCTGTCTTTAACAAAAAAAAAAGACAAATTCCTTCAAATGCATAATTAAATGGAGTTTCAGAAATTTTTTTTTTTAACCAAACATAATTTTTACTAAATTTACATTATAACTAGAAAGGTGCCCCCCTTGGGGGGGTTGGAAGGTGTCACTTTTTTGTAAATGTATAGTACATTGCATGAGATGGTAGCCACAACAAACTACATTGCTATTCTCTGCAATTCGCCTGTACATCCCTATTTCCTAACCACACTAAAGTACATTGCTTTTTCTTAATTTGATTACTATAAATCTATTCTTTTGACATGAATAGCATATACAATTGGTTTGGCCTCACAGTTGGGTCCTTCGACACGATTTCGCCTCACAGTTGGGTCGATTCTCGTATTTGCAGTAGATATCCATGATTAGAAAGAGGCAAAAGGGAACGATCGAGAAGATGCCTGAAAACCATCAGGAGTATAACATGTCAAGCATATATCATATGGTTAAAAGAACTCAACTTGCAACAGTAAAGATAGAGTGTAGGAGGGTGATACCAGTTAAAAGGCCTTTCGGTCAAAGGGACACAAGGACTTCAAAAGGAAATACAAAATATTTCAAACCACCAAAAAAAATTAATTAGAAATAATCTCTAAAGGGAGAAACTAAATCACATAACCTAACTATTATGCTCATTACCAAACCATCAATTATGTAAGTTCGAAAAAAATACACATTTATTAAAAAGAAGAAATAGTGTCGTATTTTTATAAACAACCAAAAAACACAAATTTTGCCGCCATAAAATAGCAACGTACAAAAATAAAAAAAAAAAAAAATATAAATATAAAAAAAAAAAAAAAAAAACCAAAAAAATCTGGATCACGTTTAAAATAAGGAAATAAAAAAGATGAATTTTTTTTATCAAGAGCAACATATAAGAAAAAATCACCTAGAATCATGGTAGGCCTTTTATGTCATCTTCTATCACAATGAGCCATCTAAAACAACAAAATATTAATTGGTTGATTTTCCCTTTTTAAGTCACTATAACCAACGTGATTAATGTCATATGATAATACCTGCAACTTGTGATAGAAATCGAATGTAACTTTTCCTGCATTACTGTTACACAAGTACATATAACTATATATGACCAATTTTTTTTTATAATTTAAAAGATTAAAAATAGAAATTAATTGTAATCCTCAATGCTTTTCTTAACCCTTCAACAGAATGAACTTTTGCAGGTTGTCCATGTTTAGCTACACTTGTCTGGTTTTCAACCATGTAAATGCCTTCTGACTGCATTCTATTTTTAAAGTTGAAAGTTGTTCTTAAGTTCCTGAAGTAAATGCAAGAAATAGTAACATACTTACATTGATTTGCTTATTAATACGAAAAAAAATATATATAGACTATAAAATATAAACACAACTTTGGAATGATAAATAACTTGAACGGGTAGAAATGTAAATAATAAATATGTAAATTTGTTTTCATACCCTCCCATGAACTCCACTGTTTTAGTTGAATATTTTTCTGATGCATTCTGTGGTAATCATGAATATATATATATATATATATATATATATATATATATATATAGTAGCAAAAGTATGATGTGACCAAAAATGGAAAGAAAAGAAAGATGAAGAAACCTTTCAAAAATGAAATAAGATAAAGCTCATCACCATTGTAAAAGGAAAATAAAAATTCAAAATACACCAATCCTCTTTAATACTATGCAAGTCTTAATTAGATTTCAAAACACACCATTAGAGTAAGTTTTAACTTGAAACCATTGAACCCATTCACTAATTGTTTTTGTTTTCAAATTTTACGCAATTGTCCCCTTATCATTTATATATAAACTGAAATCAACTCATTTCCACATAAAAATAGTGAACAAAATGAAAGTAAACTTCTAACCTTGTTGTATGTCAAATGTGAGATGATCCAAAAGTTTTTTTAACATTGTCGGCATCCCAGTAATATCAGATGCGGATTGAAGCCTCAAATCGCTTGTTAACCACCTAAAAATGAAAATAATAAAAAAAACAATAGTTTTTATTTTTTACTTCAATAAATGTGAATAACTTATATAGAATAACAATTTACCAGGAAGTGCTCAGACATGTTGGGGTTGACTTTTGACAGCTGAGTCGATAGGCACCCAAAATTTGTTAATCAGAGTTTTTAAACCTCAATTTTTTAATAGATATATCAAATCGAAATAATAAATAACCCATAAGTGAAGAGTTTACCAGAATTTGATCCTTTACTTGACTGTATGATCCCTATTCCATGGACACAAAGAGAGCATTTCAGTGTTATGTAGCCAAAGTGGTGAATGAAAACATCATTCACATCCCCTGCTTTCATTGCACAAAGCTAACGTACAAATACACAGTAATACATATCTCTACACAAATAAATACACAAACACACATAGATATATACAAATACAAGCAAAATTACAAACACATACAATCACAAAAATACACAAAGATTGAAACATACACATAAATCCAAACAAATACACAAAGGTATGCACTCCTACACAAATAAACAAATATATACACCTACACAGATACAAACACTCCCACATAAAAACACATACACAAATAGAAACATCTACATATAAAGATACACACATATATACACTATTACACAAATACATATATAGAAACACATACATAGACACACACATAGAGATACACAGACCTACACACAGTGATACGAACGCCTACACATAACACACAGATACTCACGTGGAACATGTACATAGATAATCATTTGAAACTTATCAATATCAATGAATCTAAAATTTTAACTAACAATGTCAGTCACCTTGGATGAAGAACTGAATGAAAGGATCTTTTAGAACTTCCGTAACCATGTGTGAAAGCTTCAAAGAAACAGACCACAACCTGTAATACAAACATCTAGACATATGTTGATTTAACATTTCAAGGCCTATAAAACAGACTCAACAGTCAAGAATTATCATAAAAGTATAAAATTATGGCAATAAAGCTCAAAATCAGAATCCATACATGTAACACTCAAAGTTAAAGTCTATTATGATCATATACCTGGAACAACTTTCAATTGAGCCTCTTGTTGGAGAAAATCAAAAAAAAAAATCACTTTGTAATAGTTTGTAGTGAAGTGTCTCTCCACATCCAATAGGCTATTCATTTCATGAATTGCAGCAGCCAAACTCAGAACGAATGCATATCATTTTGATTTGATCACTAAAAGTTTATAAACGCATAATATAATCTAAAAACATATTACAGTGATTGAAAGCATTAGATTGTAAAGTAGATAAACCCTAAATACCTGTTAGAATAATCAAAATGGAAAAAGCAGTAGCAAATTCATTAAAATTCAAACCCTATTTCACAGGTCTATTTCAATCGATTTTTCTGGCCATTCAACGCCTTCAACTTCTTGAACAAAAGATAATCCTAGATTTTGTACCTTCAATTAGGTAAGCTTGGGATTTTGGAGGCAAAGAGCTTGAAATTAAGTAGATAGCAATGCAAACAGCTGTAATGAATGGATAAAATCAAAATAGAAATGGAAGGAAAACTATTAGTAGTCACAATAAAACCTGTTATGGCTCGTAACTGGAAAGATGTTTTAGGGTTCGAGACTTGCAGTCCTAAAAGCTATTAAAGGTGATGTTTTAGGGTTCGAGACTTACTTGAAATCCGAGATGAACCCTTACTTCCATCTTCCTCCAGCACATAGAGGCAACAACAGTTTAATTTATTTCACTTCTGATAACATAAACATGTCACAAATCTAAAAAAATAAAAAAGAACAGAGGGAGAAAGGGTTTTATAGAAAGGGACCTTACATCGCATCTGTGTCTTCATCTTCTAAAAACTGTGAAGTTTTAGAGAGCATTTCAGTCTGTGGTGAATGGGGTATCTAGAAAATTGACAACCTCGCAGATAATTGAAATTGGCAGATGATCTTTACTTAAGTGGGTTGGCAGCCTCCAAAAATAGACGAATAGAAGGTAAAACAGGATGACGAATTGAGCGCGGAGTGGAGGTCATTCGATCGGTAGCGGCGGTGGTGACGTCTGTGGAAAATACGGGGATCCATATTTCCCCAATAATGATTCACGTCTGTGGAAAATACGGGGATCCATATTTCCCCAATAATGATTCCAACAAATGCAAAAGAAATCCTTTAGTGAAATCACTTCTAGAGAGAAACAGGAAGAGAATGAGAACAGGTAGAGGTCAAAAGAATGGTGGTGCTAACAGAGGGAAGAGAAGAGATGATTAAACCTGATGAAGACAGATAAAAAACACGTGTCTACGACACCGAGACAACCATGGAGAACCCAATTTCAACGACCGACAAACTGTGGCTATAACCGACGCAAGAGCAAGTGAAAGGGGTCGATTTCGGGAAAACCTTGACGAAAATCGTTCTTTATTTCTCCGCTTTGCTTCAATATTTTGGAGGTTTGATTTTCTGAAAGGAAACGAAAACGGGAATTCCAGAAATTTTGAGGCAAAGGAAGCAAAGAAGGAAGAAGCGTGGCTTGAAAGTAGCAAGAGCAAGAGATGAATCAGCTATTAAAACCAAGGTGATGTCCATGGCGGTGCTAACAGATGAGCAGCGTATATAAGCAGATAGAGTTGGGAGACGGTGGCCAAGACACAGACCCAGTTCAGACTACCTCCCAAGAAAAGTATTGAGGCGGTGGATTATATCGAGTGGGTGATGGAAGCGGTGATGGAAGGCACATTATTTAAGACGGACCGGTGGGAAAACCAACGACAGAAGAAAAAATAAATAAAAGGCAACTAAAGACAAAGCAATGTAAGTAGAAGGGAAGGGCTGGAACAGACAAATCAGGAGCCACTTTACTGTAGGTAAGGTAGGATAACTTTAATAATAATAATAATAATAATAATAATATATAATTCTTCCAAATTCCGTTAAAATTTGTAAGCGAATAGCATCCTAAAATTGTGGATGTGAACTTGGATTTATTTTGTAAATTGATTATTTTAGGGAAAAAATGTTATTTTTAAACAATTGTTAACTTCATTTTGCATCATAAAAAACCGTTTATAGTTATATTATATCGTTAAAGTAAATAACTATATACAAGACACCAAATAAAAACTCTAAGAACACAATTTAAAGTACTTAATCATTTGTTATTTCATTAATAATTCCCATCATCTATGACTATAATCACTTACATGTGCCATTAACTAATGTGATAGTTTTTAAATCAAATAAATTATGACCGATGGATCAACAAGTCATATGTTACAAAACATATGCATCAATCATCGATCATTAATTACAAAAGACAAAAATCATATCTATGTATGGCTCCACGATCCCAAAAACATAATTGTTCTAATAGGATCATCCATTTTCACTCTTCGATTCAATCTTTTAACTTGTTTAGTATTATAAATTTTTCTTTCTGAATCTGAACTTTCACTTCTGCTATCCTCCACGACTATCCTGGCTTGAAAAGCTTGTCGAAGTCTTTCACCTACCATTCTTTTGCACTCATGTATCATAGAAGTATCGCTTGAGAGATGTTGAGGCTTCATTGTTCAAAGAGACTTGTGATTTTTTAATGAATGGTAGAGATGAAGAGGGACTTGTGATTTTTGAATGAATGGCAGAGATGAAGAGAGTTAAGCAATATACAAGAATATTGTTTAGTATTTATAGAAAATACGAGTAGGGTAGTGGGCTCACAAAGGTGGCCAACAAGGGCTCACTAGAATAATTTGGATAGGGTAGATGCTTATGTTTTGTGGGATACAGATCGGTTTTTAGGTAGTTGTTTTATTTGGCCTTCGAAAGTGGGATTATTTGTTTTTCGTTAAAGTTCTTTTTTACTTTTGTTTTTCTTCTTTTCTTAAAAGTGTTAACGTTAATGTCATAAAATAATCATTATTACAACTTATTTTGTTTATTACAATATTTATCTTTTAATTATATTTAAGAGACTAATAAACTTATTTTGTTTACAATATTTATTTACTTTATTTTTTTTAACAGCAAATATTTCATTTTTTAATATATGATTAGAATAAACTTTAACCATGTAAACTGATTTTTCATCCAACGCGGCAAAATTAATGTCTATATAGATATTAAGTCAGCGTCATGTAAACACATAAATAAATTATATCATATTAAATGACATTGTGAACGCTAAATAAAATATTAATGACTTAAAAAACACATTGATAATTTTGTACGGTTATTTTGTAACAATAACCGTTTTTTTTTTTTTAACATTAAACATTTCATCAAAGAAAAAACAAAAACTTAAGCAAGGCATTCAAGACAAAGTTCATGAAAAACAAGATAAATGAGAATTACACCACATATGTCAGTTAAGAGCATTAAACTTAGATCTATTCTTAATCCAATTAAACGTAAGCATGCTAATATCACCAACAATCGCCATTGAAGGTCGCCTTTCATTCCTGAAAACACATGTGTTTCTTGCTTTCCAGATCATCCAAATGGTGCAATAGATTAATGACAACTTCAAATTTTGAGTCTTTTTCTCAATGTTAACCTGATTGAGCATCATTTCCAAATCAAGAGATGAAAATGGTTGTTCTGGAAGAATTCCAGACCACTCCACATGCCACTTCCACAACAATGACACATAACCACAGGAAAAGAAAACGTGATCCAACCCTTCATCAAAATCATGACAGAAAGTGCATAAGTTGGACGATACCGCTATACCACGCCTCATCAGGTTAGGAACCAAGGGAATCCTATTTTTTATCATTCTTCAGACAAAACAATTGATCTTCAGCGGGATACAACCAACCCATTTGAAAGAAGTTACCATAACATGATTCTCCATAAGAAGCTTTAAAGATGTGATAAAGAAATCTCATTTGATATCAGCACTCCAAGTCCACCTGTCATTATAAAAATGAAATTGAAAATTATTCAACATATCAGTCAAGTCTGATAATTGCCTCATTTCACACCCTCTCCTTGTTTGTCTAGACCATTCCCAAAAGAAATGCTTCTCCATTCTAGCCCCGACACCCACTCTATCACTAATTATGCAATCTTTAACAGTTTCAATTGCATAAAGATTTGGAAAGATCTCCTTAAGCTTTAAGTCACCACACCAAACATCCTTCCAAAAGTGAGTTTTATCCCCTTTACCTATTACCCTTTTAAAAAGAGTATTCAACTCAATTCCTTTATCACAAAAATCCTTATCCAAATTTGAGATATCAAGCCAAACACCATTTAAAGACTTTTTAGCCAAGGGTTTGCCATCAATAAGCATAATATTATGAATGGATTTGACACAAGAGCACCACAAATCATCATACCCAACTCTTAAATTTTTGAGTCTTTTTCTCACTGTTAACCTGATTGAGCATCCTTTCCAAATCAAGAGATGAAAATGGTTGTTCTGGAAGAACTCCAGACCATTCCGCAGGCCACTTCCACAACAATGACACATAACCACAGGAAAAGAAAACGTGATCCAGCCCTTCATCAAAATCATGACAGAAAGTGCATAAGTTGGACGATACTGCTATACCACGCCTCTTCAGGTTAGGAACCAAAGGAATCCTATTTTTTATCATTCTTCAGACAAAACAATTGATCTTCAGCGGGATCCAACCAACCCATTTGAAAGAAGTTACCATAACATGATTCTCCATAAGAAGCTTTAAAGATGTGATCAAGAAATCTCCTTTGCTATCAACACTCCAAGTCCACCTGTCATTATAAAAATGAAACTGAAAATTATTCAACATATCAGTCAAGTCTAATAATTGCCTCATTTCATGCCCTCTCCTTGTTTGTCTAGACCATTCCCAAAAGAAATGCTTCTCCATTCCAGCCCCCACACCCACTCTATCACTAATTATGCAATCTTTAACAGTTTCAATTGCATAAAGATTTGGAAAGATCTCCTTAAGCTTTAAGTCACCACACCAAACATCCTTCCAAAAGTGAGTTTTATCCCCTTTACCTATTACCCTTCTAAAAAGAGTATTCAACTCAATTCCTTTATCACAAAAATCCTTATCCAAATTTGAGATATCAAGCCAAACACCTTTTAAAGACTTTTTAGCCAAGGGTTTGCCATCAATAAGCATAATATTACGAATGGCTTTGACACAAGAGCACCACAAATCATCATACCCAACTCTTAACCTCCACCACCACTTTACAAGAAGTGTCAAGTTTGTCGAGTCGAGACAACTCACTCCTAGACCCCTATTTTCTTTTGATTTCGTAACAACATCCCAAGAAACCCAATAGATATTTTTATTAGCTTCATCTCCACCCATAGAAACCGCCTTCTCATCTAGAATATTAATCACTTTCTTTGGAGCTCTAAAAGAGAAAAGTAGTAAAACGGAAGACTACTAAGCACCGAGTTAACAAGAGTGAGACGTCCACCAAAAGAAAGGCATTTTGCCTTCCAATTTGATAATTTCCTTTTTACTTTCTCAATCACCGGACTCCAATGCTTTGCTAGCTTCATATTGGCCCCAACCGGTAGGCCTAAGTAAGTGAAATGGAGAGCAACGGACTCACACTTCAAGATGCTAGCAAGCCTATCAATCTCCAAAGAGTTAACATTAATGCCATAAACTTTGCTTTTGTACAAGTTGTTGGATAAGGTGTCTAAGTCCATAACTATATTTGGTATGTACTTGACCCGACCCGGCATGGTCCATTTGGGTTACACTTCACCGAAATAATTTGTATGGATAATCTTTTGAGAATAGTATATTTATGATTTATTAATATATTATAAGTCATAATATATTAATATGAAATTATATTATTTAATTAGTATTGATCAAGAATTAATTTAGTGATAAAAAATGAACTAATTAAATATGGACTCTTATATATATATATATATATATATATATATATATATAATAATATATATATATATATATAGAATGGACCAAGTTCATTTAGGATGGGATAAGCTTGCATGGATAGTCCATGGAGTTTTTAACCCATGGATCCTATGGAAATGAAAGGTCATGGGTATTAGGGTTTACATGGATGTAACCCTAATCCTCCATACTATATAAAGAGGTCTTTGGCAAATGAAATGCCACTAGTGTGTGTGAGAACAAAGGTGAGCCGATTTCTCTAGTGCATATTATTCTCTCAAGCTTTCCAAGTTGATTTGGTGATTTGTGATTCCATTTGAGGCATCCACATTATTGGTGCTAGGCTCTCAAGACTCCAAGCAATCAACCAAAAGAAAAGGTATGTTATTCTACTAAGGTTTTTATATTGCAAGTACCCCATAACATGCTAGTTAGGTTGAGAACCTTGGAAAATCAAATTTGCATGTATATTAGAGAAAACATAGATCCAAGGTTTCTAGGGTTGCATGTACACCTTAGGAGTGTTAGAATGCTCAAAACCCATCAGTGGTATCAGAGCCTAGACTTGTTTTCTGTATACTTCATGCAAAATGATTGAAAAAGTCGAAAATCTGCAAACTGTTTAGTGAACTCGCCGAGTCCATGGGGGGACTCGACGAGTCCATGTGTTATTTCATCCTACTCGTCGAGTAGGTTCTTGCACTCGGCGAGTAGGAGGCCCTGTGTGCAGTTTTTTGAGTTTTGCTGCTGGAAATGGACTAGAATCATTACCCTAAACTGTTTTGGACTTATAAAACCTGTTTTTGGTGTGGTAATGATTATGCTAATCCATTTACAATGGTTATTATCAAATTTT